TGAGGAAATATTGAGACCATCTCTTGTGCATTTGTTAGATTGACTTCGGGTGATTGGAATTATGTATTGTACTTGTAAAGCATTATTGATGCATCGAACATAGTCAATTTGTGATGTTCTAGAACTAATAATTCTATCAAGAGAAAATAAACATACACAGAAACAATTCCGTCTTATCAAGAACATAATCAACTCTCGAAATTCTAATCTGTGGAGTGTGAGTATGGGTGGATGTGAATGTAACACTTCTCTTCAAACAAACACATCCTTTTGGTATCGATCATCCCATATTATTTGTAACCAACTGGTATTCATAGTGTTTTGCTTGCTAGCGTTTGAAAATCGATTATTCAGTATTATATCCCTTGTAACCAGCAATAATCTACGATGTATAAGACAACTCAATTGTCTACTCTTCAACAGAACTTTTTATAACTTCATAATGTCCTCTACTCATCTCCAACTAAATATATTAAGATTGAAAATAAACATGTTCGGGTTAGACTCATTTGAATAGTATTATCACATACATCTCGTCGTTGCTTCTTCACGACTACTGCATCAACTTCTTTCACTTCAATTTTGCATTAGCTCACCAGTCTGTATTTTTGTTTATTAATGTTCTTTTTGTTTCCATTCTTTCCCACTCTATTCTCCACGTCTGAGTTGAATAATAAATTGATTCCAGAGAAGAAATGAGAATCTATTAACTGTAAAAATTTGTTTCATATGACTAATACAGTTTGCCGGCACCACTCAATGAAAAAAACTTAGATGAATGATTATTTTTCTCATTATTTTCAATATAAGTGTTGAGTTTTTCGTTTTTTTTTCGTTCTTTCTTCATGAAATATAAGTAGTTCGGCGTATTTAATTAATGCAACACTAATTCAAGCATCACAAATCCTTTATATGATGAGAGAGTGATTGAAAAGCAACCAATACACTCTCCTATTCTCCGATGTTGACAAGGCTTTTTCATTCATATTTCTATACAATGAGAGATACCTATGTAAACATTCGTCTAATTAAAATCTTCTAGCCGAGAGAGAACACTTCAATTTCGTTTGACTTGTTTCATCATACAAAAGCACATAGGATCTTAATAAATAAATAAAAAATATGGTTCGAACTATCCGTGCAGTCTTTGCTTCAAGAAGAGACTTACCTATGAAGCAATCTAAGGTACTTATAGGATCATATATATTATCGAAGTGTTAATTTGATTTATCTTCCATTGAATGAATCCAAAAAGCTAAATTTTTACTTCATAGGTAAAACCTCACTATATGAAGAAGAAGAAGAAAGAACAGAAGAATCATACTGTCTCTTCGCGAGTGAGTCCATGTGAAATGGTAACAGCTTCTATCAACGATTATTCTTCATTTACGATGGCATCAAATATGAACCAATGGGATTTATCATTCAAGCAGAAGAATCATAATGTCTCTTCCCGAGTGAGTCTATGTCAAATGGTAACATCTTCTATCAACGATTATTCTTCATTTACGATGCCATCAAATATGAACCAATTGGATTTATCATTCAGAGACTTGAACAGGTGAGTACCAATGATGAAATCAATCTCTATTTATAAACTAATATAACATGCGAAAGTGTTTCGAAGCGATCGTTTTCTAACTATACGAAGTTCTATGTGTTTTTTAGAACGGTGAAAAAAAATACTAACAAGAATAAAATTAATCGTCGTTCATTATTCGCTCTTATCGCTCCGATCATTTGTACATTGGTGTGTATAGTCATAGGAACTGGAATATATGGAGTCGTTGCTTTATTGACAAAACAAACAATAACTACGAGTACTAGTATAGGTAAAGAAGATTTGAGCATTTGAAACCTAGAGCATATTGAGTACGAATATAGAATCAATTTTTTCTGAAATTTATCTATTTTTTTGATAATTTCCATTTACGCTGACGATGTATTTCGTCAATTTGAATATTTCCGAATGGATTCATAACCGAAAACGAGTCTGAATCAAATATGATCCGTTATATGTATAACATGTTATTATAATTATTTAGTTCGTCAAGAAATCGATTGGTTATCATCTGAGTTGGCAAGGTATTGCTGTGGATGTAAGTGTTTTTTTCTTCATGCTGAAATCCGCATCGACAGCCATATCCTTTCAACTCATATGGTAACCAATCGATTTGTTAATAAACTTGTTAACTATAATAAGATGTAATATATAGGCAACGAATCATATTTGATTCAGACTTGTTTTTGGCTATGAATTCATTCAGCGATATTGGAATCGGAGAAGCACGTCATCGGCGAAAATAGACTAATTCCTTTTTTTCTCTCTGGTGTACGAGGCAATCACTACAGTACAAAAAGAACTTTTCAGTGCATCAACGCTAAATTGAACATCTTAGAAATTCGAAACAAAATATTTCCTTAACTAGGATTGTCATTAAAATTCAATTGATATTTCGGAAACTTGATTCATGGATGTTTTACTTTGGTGATTAGAAAAGCTGCTTGAGACAGTCCAAATTCGGTAGAAATTATCCGAGCAATATACTCATTCGCCTTGTGCACATTACGCAAAGAATTTTGAACAATGTAACTTTTTCATAAGTGAATTCTTACGACAACCTTCATGACATTGAATCCTCATTTTTATTGATTCAAAATTTGAAAGCACATACACCACACTTAGTTGTTCTTGTCAGTGTCTGACAAGAATCAACTATATTTTTCGTGATCCAACCCGAGCTGGACAAGTCGAACTCTGATATAGAGTCTATCAGATCTGGGTCCAGAAACTTTTGGACCCGACGGGCTCTTTCCACAAAAGATTAATCAATCAGGTTAGAATCTAAAATCTTGATCGGCCGGGTTCAGATCTGAAAATTCTTGGACTTGATGGACTCTACTTTGATATCAGCCACTCTTCTCCTTCCTTTGAGAAAATAAATTTCTTAATCCTTTTTGCTTCCTTCAATTTCATAGTTGGAAACAAAGGATATCTTCTTGACTTGTGTCCATCCTTTATATTTCGCGAACATTCGGCAGTTGGAATGACATGATTACGTTAAAGAAATTTTTCTTATTTGTCTTTCTTTTCTTATGTATACAACCTGCGGCTATTATATCACTATTGAAGAGACAGTGCACTTGCTATGCATCATTATTCGATGTCAATAAAAAAAAGTCAGTGAAGTAGAAGAAAAGATCGTGTGGTATGTAGCTTCTTGTTCTACTAAACGTTTTCATGCTCTCTTATAGAACTTTTAAATGAAAAAACATCTAAAATGTTCAGACTACATATCCATTCAAAAACCCAAAAAGTTTTTTGTAGCCCGATCTGATTTGATCTGCACCGGAGTCTACTCCTACCCGAGTCAAACACTGGCTCTTGTTTGTTTTTTCTTTTTTCTTGTATATTCATCATAAAAATTTGAGCATGCTAGGATCTGCAATGACTACGACAACAACTACTACGGGTCTGCTCGATTGACTTCCATAATTTCTTTTCTAATTTTGTTTCAACTTCTCTCTTTAGTTACAAGCACAACAACTACAACGAAAACTACCACGAGTATGTTCGATCGACCTTCTTCACAATTCTCTGTTCTCGTATCGTTTGAACTTCTCTCTTTACCTACAAGCACAACAACTACGAGGATGTGGATGTGAGTGTGGGTGTGAGTGAGCGTTGCAGGTGTGTGGGTGGGTGTGATTACTGCTGCAGCGAATAATTATACACCTACACCCACACCCTAGAATAAATTATCTTTCACTTCTTTCCCTGTTCTCAGAAGATCTCTTTAAAAGTATGACAGTTAAATCTATTTGACGGTGTTCTATTTTTAGGTACATCCACCACTCAATATGTATGTAGCTATTCTTGTGTCAACCAATCATGGATTTCTTCATCGAATCTCCTGGCTTCGTGGCTATTCGATGGAACATTTCGCGATGAGACATCTATATATAATGCCACACCTAGCCATAGTCCTTCTTTTGTAACTAATGGCTATTTAAACCAAGCAATCTCTTTTAATTCAAGCACAAATCAATCATTGGTTACTTCATACATTCCTCTCGGAAACACGAGTTTCACAATCGATGTTTGGCTCTATCCAACCGGATTTTCTAATTCACAAGATCACAGTATTCTTGGTTTGTGTCCTACTGAAACGAACAATGAATGTCTTCATTTGATGATTCGAAAGAGTGGATCAAGCTTCAAACTCTATTTTGGATTCTATTACAATGACTGTGCAGGCAATACATCGATATCGGTTAATCAATGGATACATGCTGCATTCATTTTTGATATAACTACAATGAAACAGTCAATCTATCTCAATGGAGTACTTGATTGTAGTTACACTGTGTCATCAGTCCTGTTAGTTTTTACGAGCAATGTTACTATTGGTCACGTTCTGACTTTGCATTCTGGAGGCGGGGATTTTTTCCAGGTATTTCGATGTTTTTCAATAAGCAATACTTTGATCTAAGGATTGAAAGAATCGAGACAAAACTTCAGAAAATCCAGTCATGAACATACTAAACGATTCCAGCTACAGCTGAAGAATTCAAGTGCACTTAGCTCTCTTTCCATTAGTAAACATGAACTAAAACAGAGTTCCAAATAATTAATTAGACAAACAGCTCTTACTATCCAGGTTGAATAGCCACGCTCGTATACGATTGTATATGAAGAAATATGGCAAAATACATGGTCCAGTATTACGATCGTATATCTCCGTGTCGTTTACGAAGAAATACGGTCATATACGGAGAAAAAAACCGGTCGTTTACGGCCTTCGTATACAGAGTCCGTATACGATCTCCGTTTTTCTCCGTTTTTCTCCGTATACGATCGCATATGTTCGTATACGGTTACGGCGACATACGATCGTAATACTGGACCATGTAAACGGCTAAAAATCGTCGACCTCGGTAGTGTCTAAAAGTGCGATAGAATGATTGTGAAGGTTCTGTTTTTTTCTTCAAAGGGCTACATGGATAAATTAACGATAAGTCGTCGAGCAAAAAGTGCATGTGAGATACTCGAAGATGCTACACTTGCTGCTCGTTTTCCATTCGATAATGTAGCAACACTTGTTGATTTTGGACCTAATTCAATATCGACAAGTGCCTCCTCTTATTCGATTTTATCTAGTGGTCATTCTCTTCAAGCAATCAAGTTCAATGGTTCAAATTCTTACTTTCAAGCATCAGGTTTCACACAATTCAGTATCAATAGCCAACCATTTTCGATATCTCTCTGGATTCAGCCTGAATCTCGATCAGGCACACTAGTTCACATTTCGACCTTATCAACTGGTCTCGGATTATGGTGCCTTTCACTCATAGGTTTTGCTTCAAATGGTACACTCGTTGCTCAAATCTATAATGGAACAACTGTGTTATCTGTTATGGCATCTACTCTTATTCCGCTGTCATCATTATTCTGGACTCATATCGTACAAACATGGAGTTCAACAAATGGTCTTCGTCTTTATATTGACAATGTTCTAGTTGCTTCTCTACCATCGGCAACAACATTTTCAGCTAGTGGAATAACGCCCAATTATGCGACATTAGCGAGTAGTCTTTTGGGATCAGGATCGTGCTTGGCAGGTGCGATCAATGCCACTAGTCCATTCACAGGTGGTATCGATGATTTCAAAATTTACAGTCGAGAATTATCAGCAACTGATGTATGTACTTTGTATATCAGTTAAAATATGCACAGGCCAAAAAAGGAATGTCTGTATTTATTGCATCACTAACCAAAGAAACGATTATATTTGGAGAATAAGATTCGATGGTTATGACGAAAATGATATTACTTTCTTCTTTCCTCTCGCTCTTCTCATTCTTTCTAATTATACTGTTCTTTCTTGTGTTCATCTGTCTCTTCCTACTTCCTATATAAACTCGCGTTATGTGTTAGATAGATAAACTATAGAAATGTGAATTAGCTCAAGAAATATCATTATTGAGGTTGGTAGTAAAGCTATTGCTTCAATTTATTGTTAGGACATAGTTGTGTTTGTGTGTGTGGGTGTAGATGCAGATGTGAGTGGGTGTGGATAAAGCAAATAGATATATCAATGCCCAGAGCCCACACCCACACACGTGCACGCAGAAGTACGCCCACAAAGTTCTCTATCTATTTTTCTTTTTCCTATATCCTTGTGTATTGTTCATATTGTGAAGTAATTTACGCATTTATTCTCATGATGAGAAAGAACATTTGTCGAAATATTAATAAATAAATGCAATGTAATTAGTTCAAATCACAATGTTTGTTGCAGTTCTACACTTCATTCTCTATCTATATAAATACTTAGGATTGAGCAAAAGTTCTGGTAACATCAAATAAAAATATAAAAAGAAAGACATATTTAGTTTTATTTTATTAAATGTTCCAAATAGCCACCATTATTATTTATACAAAGTTTCATCCTTTCTAACAGTTTATCGAAAACTTTTTAAAACTCTTTGTCTGGAATACTCTTCCCTATCTTGGAAACCTTCTGAGCTGGCGATTCTTCATTTGCTTGATCAGTCAAATTACTCTTGATATAATCCTTTAGTCAAAAGTCACATAGTGCAAGATCTGATGAATATGGTGGATGTGGCACTATCTCAATACTTCCTTCTGTTATTTATGTACATTGTTATCGACGAAGCATTCTACTATGTATTCCAGCAATAAAACTTTTGATATTAACTATTTTATAAAATTTTGAACACCGGAATTAGAAGGTGTGGGTGTGAATATCCTCTACACCCACACACCCACACATCCGCACCCACACACTCACATCTGCACCCACACTAGAGCAACAACTGTTTTGCTCTTTTCTATTACCAATTAAATATAGTTCAAAAGTAAAGGAAAGTTTCGCAGAAATAGTGTGAAGGTATTAACAAAAAGACAAATATACAGTGAAAAGCACGTTTTCAAGGACAAAATTGATTTGCTTTTCGCCGATGATGAGTGTATTAGTGCAAGCATGCCTTTCGTCTCATACTGTTTTTTTATTGCTTTCAAGAGCGAATGACTCATTGTGTGTAAGCAGAGATAGAAGTAGAACAACGCTCTTTACCACATGTCTATCTGTTTTTATGATGCTGAGGAATGAAGAAGATTAGATTTTACTTTTTCTTGTTAACTCGAGAAAGGAAAATTGGTAAATGAAACAAACAATTCAACGTGTTCCTCGTTTGAATACAAGACGAAATCAATGTTCGACGCTGATATCTGTCCAATGTTGCAGAATGTATTCTGATCTATAATCGAACTTTTATAGTACCAGAATTTCAACGACACTCGTTCCAACGATTGTATTTTTATACTTGTTGCATTTCCAGATTCAAGTAAACTTCATCTATTTTTTCCAATTTCTATGTTCTTCCACAGAGAAAAATGTCAAGTCTTCCATCAATACACTGCGATAAATATTCAATCTCAAATGATGAGAAATCAGAATTCGATTCTTGTTTTACTATTCTGCAATCAGTGCTGAAAAAGTTTGCTTTCACAATATCCCAATGACATCATGATTGACATATACCGATTGCAGTATGTTTTGCTCGAGTACTGACATGATAATGTTTTTTTTTTTCTACACTGGAACAAACAACTTGAGACAGTCAATAAAGTGACTCCTTCTTTGATTACTTCTACGTCGTTTTCTACGAAAATGACGGTAACGACCCGAATTATTTGCTTGTTCAAACACACCATATTTTTCACAAAAAAAAAATGAATAGAAAAAAGAAGAACATAATGCAAAAACGTATTGAATAAATATTCAACTTATAATGCTTACCGTCAATGGAGAATGAAAATAAATGAGAAAAAGAATATAAAAACAAGGATCTGTTGATCCAGACTCTGATGCTGCGATGCTGAAAAAGAATCTCTGTCACTCTTCATAACTGATGAACTTTTGAATTATTCTGAAATAAGAAACAAAGGCAAATAGATCGGCGATTTGTTTAGCAAATCTATTGTCGTTATAGTGAAGAAATGATCTAATTATTCTTATTTCTAAACGAGAATATGTAAAACAAACTTTTCTTTTTTCAATGTAAACTCAACATGGTTTCGCTAATTTGACAAAGCGAATTTCAACGAAGCGAAAACTCATTTTCCAACATTTTTTCCTCCAACTCGAAATTCAACTCATGATAAGACCTTGACTTTATCAAGTTATTTGTAGTTTATCATCAGAACTTCATGAATATTTTGTATAATCGAATTCTTACTATTGCTGATCAATACTAGTAGTCGAATATTGAGAAGCGCACTGCAATATGAATTATGTTCCATTTTATATTGATAGTAACTATTTCTCTATCATAGCTCGTGTAATACATGTTCAATCTTTTTTAATTAGATTTGTATGAAAGATATAACTTTCGACAAAGTTTTGTTTTTCTTTTCAGATTTTTCTAAGGATGTATCATTGAAATTAATGAAACTGAAATAGAAAGCAATCAGGAAATCTTGGAGTGAGAACTTATTTCAGTTCCGTAGGAATTTTATGAGCGAAAGTGGCAAAGAAGAAGCTTATAATACATACGATGATATCATAATGTTCAAAACAAGTGACAATGATGTACCGATTTTAGCTGGTTATCAACAATCAAGTCTACATTCTTTTCTCTACCGATTCTGATTAACTTCTTATGGCTTTATTCCTCGTTATGTATTGTTTCTCTCTTGAACATCGTATATTAGGAAAAAAACCGATGTTTAACACTAATGCCATTTTTCCATCACAGTGATCTTTAATCGGTCTTCCTATAACTGTGGTCTTTTCGTTCATTTGGACTAGGGATGTCCATGACGACGTCACTGCCACAGCGACAGCAGCAGATTTTTTCAAAAACCGTTGTGATGCGGGAGAGATTTTTATAATGCCGTCGTAGATAGCTATTTTAGGAAAAAGCTTCAAAAATATATGAATTTGCACAGAATCTTGATGTTCGTATATGTGATACTGTAAGACTTAGCAAATTTAGTCCATTAGCAGCAGCAGTTCTAGTTCAAAACAGTCACGATCTTGAAAATCGAAATATTTTTTTGAATGCCATCGCGGTAGCAGCAGCTGCAGATTCTCAGCCGTGATGAACATCTATGATTTGGATCTTGATCAATACATTCATTGGCATCTATCATATAGTCTTTAGTATGGCTGAAATCTATCAATATTAGAAAACATCATGCAATACAAGTTTTACATACTAAAATGATCGTAGCGGCTGGTCGATTGTATTCACAATGAATGATGCAAATAATTCAGAATTTATTACAAGTTGAATGAAAATAGAATGAAACTTTAGGGGTGCAGAAAAAAAAAATTAAATCAATGATTGAAATGAACACAAAGTTGACAATAGATTTCTTGACATATAGGACATAGAAATCGATATTACTTAGTATCAAATATAAATGAATGTTGTTTGAATAGATGCATGAACTTGAAATTATGAATCCTAGAGATAAATTGGAGTTATTTAATCACCAGTCATTTATAAGTCTTTAAGCAAGTTCATGTTCTACTTGTTTCTGAAAACCACGATCCAACCATACCTAAAAAATTAGAAAAAGTACTTCTATCTTTTCAAGAAATGATCTATAAATGTTTCATACGTCTTTTCGTGGCGTTTCTTCCTGGCAATCAACACACTTGATGGTAGTACTACAATGGAACAATAAAATTTAGAAATGATCTTGAAAGAAAGAGAAGTAAATGATTACCCTTCTTGGTTATCGATGCATGATCGACATTGTCGATGTCCACAGATAAGTTGAAAAGGATCTTGGAATATGGATGAACATTTGTGACATTTCATATCGAAAGAAACTGTATTCGAGACTACAACTCGTCTGCTTTTGGTCTTTTTCTTCCGTCTCACACGACTTGGATTTGAGACCGATTGATTGCTTGGATGTACTTGATGAGTAAAATAGGAACTGAAGGCGGCAGTAAGTCGCTCCACCAGATCGGTCGTCATGAGAAAATTTAATTTGTTACTGATGCTTCGATATTTTTTAGTATGCAACTGAAAATCAACTTCAGAATTATAATAACTATGAATAGAATCTACTTGTTCTAAATCATAGACATGATTTTCAATCAATTGTGTAAGATATTGACCTGGAATGAACAAACGAAACGAATCGTTGTTATTTTGTGATTGGTATACATTATTAAGCAATTCTTCTAAAGTTAAAAATACTTTTATTGAGGAATTTTTCGTTTCGATTAACCATTCAGGTCCTAATACAAGAGATATTTGATTCTTCATATCTTTGTTTCCGGTCATTTTCGCTTGATATTGGGAGAAGTACGTTGTATGTAAAACAATGCACGTCGATTTTTATTGTTATTCCAGCAATACAATAAATAATTTTGTATAGATCTAAAACAAAATCGAGCTTATGTTCGAATTTATTGGATGATATTTGATGAATAAAAGGCGTCGAATTATGACATTAATATTTTTGAGTTCGCAGGTTGGCTCATAATGGGTCAATAAAAATCTCTGGGTGATTGGACAACTACTATAAAAAAATTATCTTTCAGATAAATCTAGACAATTGTCGAAGCTTTTCATTCATTGACACGATTTATCATTTCTTTTTTGTTAACATGATTCATTAATATTATTTCCGACATCTATTACATTTAACCTTGTTTGTTGAAGAAATGCAGCAGATGTGGAAAAATCAATTTCATGAATCATATTAACGTTAGAATATCATCTTATCGTGTATCTTTCGCTGTTCTAATTTCTCATCTCATTTTTGTATATGACATTTATATCAATATTTTACCTGTGTACTCTTACGACTAACTGTAGAATGATTTATAATCTACCAAATGATGTTACTCATTTTCGATGATTCATTTTTCTCGTTTTACAAAAATTTTTCCTATAAAATACTTACCAATGGCGAACAATATATATACACTATGAAATCAACGAATCACAGTCAAAGTCTACGTTCCTGCTGAAATGAAACCAATTTTGTGTCTATTTCTTCTGTTGACAGAAGAAAGTACGGAACGACAAAATTTAACTTGGAAAAAACCCACTCAATGTTGTAATATATTGTTGTTGTTTTACTCATTGTCAAAGCCGCATACAAAATTCCACTAATTGTCGTTGATGAATTAAGTTTTTTGTTAACTCTTTTTCGTTTCGCTGTCGGGTGATATTTGACAAAGTGTATACAATGAAAAGCAAGCACAATTGGAATAGAGACGTTTCCAGATTTGAAACTGCAATAGTTGGTAATTTTTTTTGAATGACAAACAGTCATTAGTGAATAATGAAATTTTTATAAGAAAAAACTGCTCGATTTATAATGATATCATTTAATTACGAATTTGGTAATGGTATTTAAAAGAAAGTGAAAATATGAAGAAATATTGCGAAGTTTGATGACGCATATATCAACAAAAAAGTGGCTCAAAAACCAGCATTATTTTAACGATGAATACATCCGAAACAATAGTGAATAATAAAAATCATGGTTGCCTCATTACTATAGGTCATGACATTGATTTCTGATGATATTGAAGACCAATTAGACAAGTGAATGAATATCTAAACAAAGAAGAAAGAAATCATTCTCTGAAGTCATGTGTACTTTAATTGTTTCTTCTCATTCAAGTGACAAAGAAAAGTAAAAATAGCATATTTTATTGCACTCGTCAATGTCGTCATACATGAGTATTCTCTATGAAAGAAAAGATATTTTACTTGGTAAAAACCCACATGCACACAGTGATAAACAATGATTGTTGTCTTATCGTTCTGTGTGAGCGTCACTTATAAAATAAAATGCGAGTGTGAAAGTGAGAATGGGTATAGATGTTGATCTGGCTCTCGGCGATCCTGAAGAGATGGACAACACTCACACTCTTCATCATTACTTCTCTGCATATTTTCCTTAATTCGTTAGTTAGGATAATCAGTGATCTTTGGAAATGTATGTGTGAAATCGAAGATCAATATTTTCCTATCAAACATTTGTGGATCAATTCAACCGCGACCTCGCATTTTCGACTCGTCTCTGTAAGGAGCTGCAGATCGTTCCAGACCCGGATCCAAAATTTTATTTTTTGTCGGACTCTGTTACACATTTTTATGGACTCGTTGCTCTCCAGATGAGAATTCCAACAACAATATGTAACTGTATGTTGAGTTTTTTGTCTGAAAGGAGCGAATAAATAGCTAAAACCTTGATCTTTTACCTGTTCATGTACACGAAGGGTGCTAGATATTGATAGGAAAAGTCTCGCGTGTGGATCCGGCTGGGCCCAGTTCCAAAATTTTTAATTTTTTTGCGGGTACGGACCCACGTTTCCATGAACCTACAGATCGTTAACATATCTGTAGGAAATAGCTAACTCAGAGACTCGACAATAAAACACAGTTAACTCTATTATTTTTCTCATATGTACAGCTTCATATTCGAAAGAGAAAATTAATTCATCACTTATCAGTTCAAGTGAGAATCTTTGGTGATTGGCTTTGAATTAGAATACTACCTGTTCTCACTATACTCATACTATAACCTCTCTTGATTGCTTTGCATGTCAATCTGAATGGACAGTTGTAGAAAAAAAAATCACAAACAATAACCTAAGTATATTGTTTGGCAGAGTGAATATACAGTCATTCGTAAGAATGTTCAGTCTCTGCAGTGTATATTTACATATCTTTCAATGAGTGACATAAAGAATTTTTTAAAAAATGCCGGTCCCTTCTGCGAAGTATAATATCAAAGTATGAATGATGAACCATTCGTAATTTTTAATAAAAATAAACAAAATGCAATCCATGAAATAGACATTCTAAAGGATACTTTGTTCATCAAATGAATTTTAAAATTTGATTTCTGTTCTTTGAGAAAGAAAATAAATGTGAAATTTGAAAATCTTAGTACTGATACGACGAATAACCATGGTAGTTTATAATTATTAACAATCTTCTTCAACTACTAAGAATATCTTCACAATCACTATAATTAAGATTTTATTATAGAAACTATTTAAAAAGACTTCTTACTTTTGTGTTCAATTGAGATTAGTCGGATGAATATTTTTGTTTCCAAAATCTATAATGATATTTTGCACGACTCTAGTATTAATCTTCATTTCGAAATAGTCACAACTTTAATTTCAAAAGCTTTGAAAAAAACATCTTAGGTGATAGTGGAATAAAATTAAAATAGGCAGTTAATATTAATAAATCAATCACGACGAAAATTAAAGGAATAAAAGACGATTATCTCCTTTTCATTTTGTTTTTTGATTTCCTTTGATTTAAGAAGACGTGAAAGGAACATATAGAGTTATTGATACGAAGAATAATTCAATGAAAATGATGATAATATTATTTAATTTGATTGAAAAACAGGTAGTATAAATCGTTCCATTGAGTTAGGATTATTTATTCAATTATTTTTCATTCTTTATCGTTTATGTACTTAGAACAAAAGCCGATGACGATACTGTTCAGAACTGAGAATTATTTTTTTATCTAGTAATCTACACTTACACTCTAACAGACTACTGAGAATTACATTAGAGTGTAAATAAAGATAATGACAGTGGACTAGACTAATTAATGAATGAATGAACAAGGTTTTCAATATTCCTATGCTGAAATTGCATATCGGTTCTGCATAAGAACAGCATACCACAACCGGTTTCGAGCATGCTCAAGAATTTCTTCAGATGGCCTAACTGAGACATCTATTTCAATTCAAAGAATCAAAATAAGGTATCATCTACATTGTTGAATAAACGCAAATTTTTTGGACAATATGTAGAATATTGAAACTGTGGTACAATTTAGAAGTACATACCAAGATTGGTTTGGACCTTGTTCAAGAATGTGGGTGGATGGGTATGGAGGTAGGGGTTATGAGAAGATCCCTACGTACACGCACTCGAACGCTCAAATGGACATTTACAGTCCCACTTTCACACTCACACCTCAAACAAGCTTTGTACTATTTATTTTGGTAGATTTTACGAAAATAGAATAATTTGAAAAAGCGTGCGTGTTTTTTACAGTACTCTTTGTTTTTCGACTTTTCTATTCGAAAGGACGAAGATAGAAAGAGGATGTTGGCGCGAGTGTGTGGGTATGAGTATTGGGTGGGTGTAGGCATGGCACAGAGGACCACACCCATATCCGTACCCCCACATCCTCATCCTCACCATACTGTTTAGATATTCTTCTCTTTCGAATGTGTACTATTCAAAGACGATTCGCCATACTGTTTATTCAGTTCAACGATGTATCAGTGTTTTTGTTTCTTTTTTTTCTGCATAAGAAATTAGTAATTTTCATCCATTTTGACGACGATGTCAGATATTTTATCTATTTAATTCGACAAGAAATTCACATTAGCGTGAGTTTTGGTGTTATAAGTTGATTTATTCTGATTAAATATAATATGTTAAAATAGCACAATGTCCATCTGTTAAGTATCGATTATGGCAAATAACTGTGATATTTTTTGTTTTTTATATATTTTTGTTCAGAACGACGGTGAAATATTGACTTTTTTTATACAGAGACTTGCGCATGAATGCTCTATTTGATCACTTAGACTGAATATTTTCATCATCGCATTATTTTCCAATAAGAAAAATCGAAAAATAAATCCAATTTGTGATATTAAGATGATGACAATTAAGTCCATCTAGAAATGCTACTATCTTAAATGAAAATATTAACCTGAATGTTGCAAAACAAAATTAAAAGTTCCATGACTCAGTTAACAATTTTTTCTTTCTTCATTATGTTAAATTCTCATTATATCTTTGATTTGTTCAAACGATATTCTATATAGCTCTGACTACTATATATGATCACCATAGGATTTGAAATCGATTAGAACATACATCGCAAGAAGTCCGTTGTCTCCATAATTCCATCTGATATTGATGCTTATCTTTCACTACATAATATTTTGATTGAATCCCGATGGGCGAGTTTTTATTTTATTTTATTTTATTTTTTTTAGTTTCATGTTTGTTGCTGCTTTACAACCAATAACGGCGCGTGGAAGAAAAAAAAAACCTAACAAAAATATATCGTCATGCTTCAAAAAAATTGTCAATCACATAGCCATGCATCTTGTCAAGACTATTAATATACACATTCATTTTTTTCGTTTCTATCAGTGCTTTTTTTTCGTTCTATGATCGATGTATATTTATACATGTGGTTCTAATAAGAAATTAGCGTTGTAAAAAAAAAAATCGTACCTTGAATTTGATCGTTGATAATTAATTTCCTCTCTCATTCAAATCAATGTTTTCCTTCGTAAAGAAGTTTCGTTGTCGCTCGACTCATCGAGTGAAAATGAACCTATTCAATATTACAGGCATTATATGTCTACAAACACTTTGTTATTGTGTTATTTTATCTATTGATACATATGTTAGTTCATTACATTTATCACCAAGTATAAATTGTAGTGGATTACAAAATGAAAACATATTGAATCATTTCTATCAAAGTAATAATGAAACATGTCCTCGAATGGACAATGACACATCAACACATGGATTGACTCCGACACGAGACCGAGACGAAATTGTCTATCGAAGAACTATTGCCAACAGTTTACCAGCAATCATTATGACGTGTGCACTTGGTATGATAATACCATTTCTTGGCAAACGATTTGTACTTATATTACCTATGGTTGGTATTGCTATTCAAATGACAATTGCTCTGGCAATTATTTATTTAGATCTAGGAATCTATTGGTGGTATTTGAGTGGTTTTCTGTTAGGTGTATTTGGCAATCCGGGTATTATAGGTATGTAATGAGTATTAAAAGATGGAAGATTAAATTTGTTTTTCTCTTTGCACTAGATTTTGTTATTGCTTTAATTATTATTGATTTAACAACTGTAAATAATCGATCATTATGGTTTGTTCGTTTTTATGCATTAAGATGTGTATTGACAGGATTGATAACGTTTTTGATTTCTTATTTTGGTCAATATTATGGTTATATTGGATTATTTTGGTTTGCACTTGTTTTACAATTGATCTCGATTGGTGTTATTATTCGATATATTGATTTAACTCTTTATAATCATACGAATCTTAGAATTAAGAATCGATTTTATTTAAATTTTAATATATTTATTATTTTTCGTGGAAATCATCGATCTATTCAAGAAAAAATCGGTATTTTATTGATTCTAATTGCTTATAGTTTTTATGCTTTAGCAAATTCAGTAATTGAAGCATTTTACATAGCACTTACTACATATCCTATTTGTTGGTCATGGATGTTGCCTAATATCTATAAATTAATTATGAGTATTAATCTTGGAATTTTTGGTATGATTGGTTATCATATATTAACTCGATTGACAAAAACAAATGATATTCTCATCTGTATTATTAGTAATACGTTTTTACTCATAACACATATTTGGACAGCTTTAGCACAACATAATTGGCAAGTATTTAGTAATAGTGCATTTTATTCATTTGCTAACTATCAAAATCCATTGACTCTATCAATATTAGCACAATGGTTGAAACCAAGTGAAACTAATCTTGCTTTCATATTTATCATTGTTATTAATCAATTTATTATATCATTTGGTGATTATTTTTTCAAATGGATCTTTATGAACACGACATATCAACATAAAAATATAATACTATTTGTAGCTGGTGGATTTGGTCTTGTTTCATTGATTCTTAACATGTAGGTTGAACTTTAAAATGTATGAAGAGAAAAATGTTTTTTTGTTTAATCTCATCACATAGATGCCTCTATGCAGTCGAACGTTGCATATCGAAGCCGTCATCAATAGTTGGTGAAACAACTGCTCTGGTGACAGATGTTGACAACAATCCTGATCCATCTCAATCACTGTCTACTGATGATCATTCACCAGTGCCTATTCGATTGTTTACTATTGGAAAACTTACTCTTAGTGTTACTATCGGATCTCCGTCGAAATCTAAGAAACAACCGACACCAAGTGTTGAAATAAATCAAGAAGATACTACTACACAAGACAATCAAAATCTAATTAATCTTTGATTCATTTTTTTGTACAAAGCAAGATAATTGACTTACATGAAAACTCATGTAACTACAAATAAAGCTTATAAAACTCAATGAACGTACTGAGTGTAATAGTTCCGTAGTTTTCAACTATATTCTTTTCTTCAAAGAAAAAAGACATGTTCGATAGATATTTCAAATAATGTGAGAACTTTATTTTATGTCTTGTAGAGATTGCCGATCGTAATAAGCATTCCAGTTCCAGAGTTGGAACCGGTAGAATTCTTTTACACTGGATCGAACCGATCGACTCGAATAAAGAATCGAATAGACGCAACATCGGTCTGTTCATTATGTCAATAAGCCAATTAGTTCTCTCGAAAAAAGTTTATTATTACAGTTCTACGAAGATATACAATATGAAATTCATGTAATTGTTGAAGTATCTAATAGTACCAACTTCTATGCAAGCCAGTCATGTTCTATATACGCTAATACTAGATGTAAATGAAGTTAGCACCATATTCGAGTAAAATTTGCCCATATTCATCTAGGAATTCGTTCCAAAGTTTCCAACAAGTGTTCCAAGTACAACTCGACGATCTCTATCCAATGCTATGCTCAGATTTCCAATAGCTCAAAGTATGATTTTCTATAGCACCATCTATCAGCCCAAAAATCATACATTGAGCTATCGGAAATCGCAGCATAACATTGGATAGGACTCGTCGAATTGTACTTATAAACACTGGCTGGGAACTTTAGAACGGGCTCCTAGACGAACCTGGGCAACTTTTACTCGAATATGATGCCAACTTCACTTACGTTAATAGTGCCTCAGGCTCTCTCACAAAAATGTTTCCTATTGTGAGTTTATCATGTTGTACTCACTATCCATTCAGCGTTTTATTTTGCATACACAGCTAAATATAGGCAACTCGATTGAGCATGCGACACTTGTGTATTTTCGTGTGTCTTTTTCTCTAGGTTATTTCTCAATTAGTTATTATTAGTCGAGAACATGCTGATCTCAATTCTCGATCGAGATCGGATCAACTCGAGATGGACATATCTCGAGATCTGACCGGCTTGAATTTTAAGAAGAGGAATAATTAAATTGAAAAAATACTTCATCATTCGCTTTCAGGAAAAAAAAATGAAACATGCGCTGTATACTAGATTCAAACCATGTTTTCAGAATGTGTTGGGCCATTGCTGAACAAAATGTGTCGTGCTTCCATGTTTTTCACAACAATTTTTTAATACAGTAACCCACAACAACTGATATTGAACAATCTCTATGCTTTGTTGTGCATAATTTTCTCCAGTAAAAATATGATTTTTTTTCAAGAATTGATAAATTGAAAGACTTCTGAATTTGTAAGAGGATACTGCTGTTCTTCATATTCTTAGATTTCTTGATACTTAGATATTTTTACAGTTGCATGATACTATTATCCAATTCAACAAAGAATGAACTTGGTTGTTTGTTAAATAACTTGGCAACGCTGATAGCTATCGAGCTCGGGTTTTTTTTATTAGAAAGAGCATGAGCGAGAGTACAAGTCTACCTGAGAATCAAAATATTTGAGAAGTTTTCTAAGATGCTCCAAGGGTTTTTTGGAAAATCACTGTCTGATTCGTTTGATTAGCTGTATTTTCAAGTGAAATTGAAAACTCAATATCTCGAGAAAGGAATATTCTTTTTGACTAAAATTTTTAGGATATTATATGGACCATTAGAGCTATCTATGGGCAAATTTTCCGGTTGAAATTCCGTAATTTCATTTTCCGGTAAATATCTAGGAAAGGGTCGAAAATTCAGTAAAACTGGTCATAGTTTTTCAAGAAAAGGTTGAAAACGCCTAAAAATTTCATAGTTTATAAAGTAGACATTAGATTACAATATGGCTAAATTGAAATTGAAAATACAGCTAATCAAGCGAATCAAACAGTGATTTTCCAAAAAAATCGCTTGGAACACCTTAGAAAACTTCTCAAACATTTTGATTCTCAAGTAAACTTGTACCTCCACTCATGCTCTTTCTGATGGCAAAAATCCGAGCTCGATAGCTATCAGCGTTGTTGAGTTATTCAACAAATAATTGCGTCTATTCTTTTTTTTGGAATGCATAATAGTAGTTGGCATAATTTTCTCAAACCAACAGAATCCTTTCTAATATCATTGTATTGAAATAATGAATTATAAAAACAACTAACCGTTAAGAGCTTTTGACACTCAACGAGGCTAAATTTTCATGACCAATGATAAATTCATGCAGCAAAATCCGAAGTTCTTATCCTACGATAAGAACCTGTGAGATCAATGCCTAGAGAGCCAGTATTTCGATAATGAATAGAAATTTGTCAGTTGAAAACTTTGCACTCATATTTCTAGATCGCTAAAGTCATGAAAATCGATACAAATAAGCTATGCGTTGCGCAAGAAAGTATAGCATTAATTGTTCTTTTGTGAAAGACTTTATTAAAAAAAGTAATCATGTATGGCTTCAGAAAGTTTTTATAACAGAAATGAAGATATTTGATAGAAAGTGTACCATTCAGTATGATAACTATTTGGCTAATTCATGTCTTCGAGTTTATATCCTCTCTAGATATGAGAAATTTAAACATAATCTATGATTATCTAGTTGTAAAATTAGATATTTCTGTGAATAGAAAATCACCAGTGAGTGTAATTACAAACGAATGTTTTAATAAAGTTTTATGAATATGATCTCATATAAATTGTTGTCAAGTGTTAGCATTAGAGAGAATCGTTCGAAAGACAATATCTTGATTCTTATGTGTTAATCTACTGTTCATAAGGCTCTTTGTTAAAAAAAAATCACAACATCTTGTTTATTATTATATTATTTGAAATCACGAATTTGATATTAAGCTAAAACGAATATATTAATTTGATACTTCGTCTAGAAACAGTCGATTGTCATAGATTGATATCCGTCAGTATATTTTCAAATACTTTATCACGCTTTTTTTGAAGTAGTTCATATGAAAGCATATAATGAATAGTTCAGTTATACATTCAAAAAAGATCAGGATCATGATGAATATCATAGAACTGATTTTTGTTGAATAATTTTACATTCATCGTTCGACCTTGTGGATAAAGCCACTTTTCCAAATCATTTAATCTTCCCATATATTCAATAGCATAAGCAGCTGCTTTAACAACTTTTTCATATGCAAATGGATTTACATTATTTATCCGATCACATTGTTGATGATAACATGAATCATAGGCAGCATTAGCTAATCCGCCGTTTCCTATTCCTAATATTGCTGCATATTGATCTCGTTCATTTGCTGATTTAATCCCACCAGCACCTGTATTTACTCCTCCAGAAGCTATGCCTCCGGTCAAAAATGGTACAAAATCGCTGCCACCGCTCATTCCCGATTGGCTCCATGGAAGTTTCTGATCATTAAACCATTGCTGAAATAGATTCCTAATTCGATCACTACCCGGTAGAGCCTTCTCGGGTGTTTCTGGTGGAACTGATAAACTGTCAAGAATACCAAAATTACTATTGGAAGAAGCTAACATATCATAATTTAAATATAATAAATAATCTTGCAAACGTCCGCTTTCGATGGTAGCACTAGGTAACAATGCTTGTTCAACATGATAGATAGAACCGATAAGGCCGACTTCTTCTGCACCCCACCAACAGAATCGAACACGATATGAGAATTGAGCATAGTTTAATGAAGTTGTCTCAAGTAGACGAGCTAAATTAAGAGCCAAAACTAAGTTGCCAACTGTGCCACTACCTAAGTAAAAGATAAATTAATTATTCAATAGAGATTATTTCTGATAAGAATTAGCTTTTCTATTCATCCAATTCATGGATCTTAATAAAGAAGATGGTTTGAACAAAAGAAAAAAGGCAATACATGACTGAAAAATAATCTATTTAATTCGCCATTAATAATGATGGTGTGATGTAGAATCCATCGGATTCGACCCCATTGGTTCCGTGTCTGAAAGTTTTGTTTCGACGGATCCGGTTTCAGAAATTCTTGGATCCGATGGCTCTAATGTGATGACTATAATCCATTAGTCTACGGATGTTTGTCTTACCGTTGTCATTGATTCCACTTCCATCTAACACTCCATCACTATGAGATCCGACAACAATTGTTTTTGTTTTACTTCCTGTTGATGTATCAGCACAAATATTTCCAATTCCTTCTGCATCTCTTACATCAATTTTCATTTTTATATTGACATTTGTACTTGCATTAACAAATTTCATTCCCAAATTATACGAGAGAAAATAGGCTGGAATTGTCATATTCAAATGACCTCTCACATATTGAACAACTTGAAAACGATCTGACGCAGTTCCATCATTGTACATGAGTAATCCTTTTGCACGATACTTTTCTGCTAGTTGAGTCTTATCGGGAAATGCACAAACTCCACGTTTGACCAAAGCAATAGAGTCTGTCACTGAGACACTCATCCAATCGGAATCTTGACAGCCAAGATTTGGAATCGAGACCAATCGAACAAAGGAATCAAAATTAGCTCCAGATGAAAATAGCATGTGAGCGAAATCTGTTAAGTAAGCATAATCCTCGACAAGACCATTGATTTGAGATTTTAATTGCGGTGTACCTTGAACAACACAATTCTTAACTGTAAAATATTCATGTCGAACAATTAAATTTGTATTTTGTTCTAGTTGCTTAGTAATATAATCGAGTGTATCATTAAATCCTCGAGTTCCTATTGCTCGTGTTCCATTACTTTGATCGGCAATCATTTGAAGTTGTTCTAAATGATGCATTAGATCATTCATTTTTATTTGATCAGCAAATAAGGGTGATTTATTATTATCATCAGGGGAATTTTCTGTATTCATCGAATTTATACGATTGATCAATATGCCCAATGCGACTGCACCAAGAACAATAGTTGTAATTGAAAATAAAACAAGTAATCCCAAAAAAATATAAAACGGTTTTTTTGTAACTGATTTCTCAACGCCAGCAGATTGTGATCCATCGACATTCGATGGTGTGGTCATCTTAAAATTAAAAGACAATAAATGTGAAAAGTAAAATCAAATGAGAGAATTGCAATAGTGTACAAGAGTTATTCAGTTATTTCACAAAAATAGTTCCTAAGAATGATTATAATGAAAATACTCTAGAATAAAACATTACAATCATCCTTTTTTTTTTTGTTTGCATCAACAACACTACTTTCATATGTATTAAAAACAAAAATGATAGTGGATTTTACAAAAAAAATAGAGAAAGCATATTTTATTACTTTACTACTGAAGCGATCGTTTTGTTCTACAGTTACAATCTAATTGTTCTTATCTATGATATAGTTTTATTATTGAAGAAAGGTAGTAAAATTTGACATAATTTATAGCAGTTAATCATTGTCATTGGACGTATTTTTGAAGCAATAATCAACAAAATATTGAATTATATGTTTGATGGATCAAAATAAATAGATAAGATCAGTACTTGCATCTACAAGTATCAACATATTGATGTTTTCATTTCTAACTAATTATCAGTAATACTGACTGTGGAAACAAAGAAAAACCCCCAAAAATTATTTCAAAGAAATAAAATGTCTCATGAAAACTATAATTGATTGGGATGATGATTGCATTTTATATCTGACTAATAAAGTGAGTTTAAGGAAAAACAATAGCCTTTATAGACACGAATTTTTTGTTATTTTTCAATGGGTTTGTTTCTTAAAAATAGATGAAAATTGTGCATGTCTAAAAGCATTCAAATCACTTGAAAACATTGAAGAAGTACTTTTTGTATGATAGAATATCATTAAAATGTCATTACTATACGATTTAAATGCATTCTTTCAAAGATTTTGTAAGTCATGCTATTAAATCCTCTACTACAATTGCAATCGAAATCATGACTACTCTCGTCTTCAAGAATGTATTATTTTGATGTCAATTGCTTGAAAGTAAGAGTTAATATCCATGCATGAAACTTACTTTCAAGGCTGACTCATCTGTGCGACTGACCATCGATTCAATTTAGAATCAGATGTCATAAATTCTGTTCTTTCTTTTGACATTTCCCTATTATACACTTTGACAGCAATGCCCAATGACCCACCAATGCTAGTTGATAAACAGAATGGGTCGGTGTAAACTTGGTCAACAGTAAATGAAAATGACTGGTCAACATGATCAAGGAATACGACTATTCAATTGGAGTAGCAATAGAAAGCTATAATAAGTAGTTGCTTGGCGATAAATAACTAACTCCTTTTCAACTAATATAGGCTGTTCTCATCAATCTGTCAAGATCACGAAATACTAAGCATGATTTTGACCAATAGTTTGTTTCATCAACGATTCACTGAAATTCAAACGCAAGTGTTTTTCATTGCGATGCGAACAAAATCGTCATCACATTTCACGCTTTGCTTTGCACGTGTGTCACGGATAAATTTATCATTAAATCGATGATCGTCTATGAAATCAATGAAAAAACCTGAAGTTATTTCTGCTTTTTTTTTCTTATCGTTCCTCGTATAACAGAACGCACTGTATATCGAGGTCATGCTTCATGATAATCTTTACCAACGAGTATATCAATCGAGCTCCTATGATTAGCTAGTTTAATTATTCCGAAACAAACATAGAGACAATTTAGAGTAAGAATAATTAATTTTCTTTTCTTTTCTTTTCTTTCGTCATTTGTCTTTATTCGCCGTTACTTCACATCTTATTCGAATTGAGTCAAGACGAATTTATCTCGTCGTCAAGCTTCGATCATTCAACCGAGATTCGATTACTTTGAATCTTTCTGAGAGAAAATCTGCAGTAATCCATTTAAGTTTCTCAATTAATTGCAAAAGTTTCATTGCCTTCAGCGACAAGATTTGAGTTTCTGAGAAGACTTTGATATATTTTTCATGAAAAGATAATTTGGATACTTTGTATGAAGATCAGAATAAATTGAAGACATTTTTAAGCTTTGCCGCCAAAAGCGACAACCTAAGAAGTGTATTTGTTTGACGATTAATTGTTACATATGAAATTTATTCAAGTCTAGCAATTACTGTATTTTGCATAAATGTTATTAGAGTGGTCTTCTGGATGGTAAGACCATTGAGAAAATATCTCATGAGAAAACTGCGAGATAAAGTGAAATGTTTTAGAGGTCTGAATGCATAGTTTTACGATAAAAATACACAGTAGCATTGTTCTAGTGAGATGTACGACTCACTAATAGCTTGCAATTTTGCTTGTGTACATGTTCGATGAGCTCATTTTCCAATGAAGGGTGTGGGTGTGGGTGAGTGTGGGTGTGGGTGAGTGTGAGTGTGGGTGGGTATGGATGTGGGTGTGCTCTTTTGTAATACCCACACCCACACCCACACCCACACCCACACCCACACCCACACCCACACCCGCACATCCACACCCACATCCACAACCACACCCACACCCGCACATCTACATCCACAACCACACCCGCACATCCACACCCACGGTAAATTCCATTTTCGCCGAAGACTAATTTCGCCGAAAAGAAATTCGCCGAAAATAAAGTTCGCCGATTCCATTTTCGCCCAATGAATTTATCACCGAAAACAGATATAAGTTGAATTTAATCAATCATGTATACAACAATTATATTGAGGTAATTAATCGATCATGCCAAGTCAGTAAACCCCATGTGAGATGGCTTCCATGTCGGTTAAATTGACTACCAAGTCAGATGGTAACCATCTGAGTTGGTAGCGATGTGAGTTGGTAGCCAACTGAGTTGGTAACCATCCAAGTTGGTAACCATCCGAGTTGGTAACCATCCAAGTTGGTAACCATCTGAGTTGGCAACCATCCGAGTTGGTAACCATCTGAGTTGGTAGCCATCTGAGTTGGTAACTATCTGAGTGTTGGTGTGGGTGTGGGGTGTGGGTGTCGGTGTGGGTGTCTCTGTGTGCGAGGAGTACTGACACCGATACCCACACCCACACCCAGATGGTTACCAAGTCAGATGGCCACCCAAGCAGACAAACATTTTCGAAAACGCGTTTAAACGCATGAAAAAGTGTCATAAAAATGTAAAAAGTGGACGTTTTTTGCTCATAATCGTGGTTCCCGATTGTGAGCGAAAAACACCCATTTTTTGTCCTTTTTGTGTGTTTACACGCGTTTTCAGCGAAAACACGGTCGTAAAAGCGTATAAACGCATAAAAAGAACACGAAAAGTACTTGTCTTTTTCATTTTCGTTAACTGCTATCATAATCATGATGGCGATTTACGATTATGAAAAAAACGACTATTTTTCGTGTTCTTTTTATGCGTTTATACGCTTTTACGATCGTGTTTTCGCTGAAAACGCGTGTGAACACGCAAAAAGGACAAAAAACGTTCACTTTTTACATTTTTATGACACTTTTTCATGCGTTTAAACGCGTTTATGAAAATATTTGTCTGCTTGGGTACCAAGTCAGATAGTTACCAGCCCAGATGGCTACCAAGTCAGATGGCTACCAAGTCAGATGGCTACCAAGTCAGATGGCTACCAACTCACGTGGCTACCAAGTCAGATGGATACCAAGTCAGTTGGCTACCAACTCAGATGGCTACCGACTCAGTTGGCTACCTACTCAGTTGGCTACCAACTCACATGGCTACCAACTCACATGGCTACCAACTCAGATGGTTACCATCTGACTTGGTAGTCAACTTAACCGACATGGAAGTCATCTCGCGTGGGGTTTAACTGACTTGGTATGATCGATTAATTACCTCAATATAATTGTTGTATACATGATTAAATTCAGCTTATATTTGTTTTCGGTGACAAAATTCTTTCGGCGAAAATAGAATCGGCGAACTTTATTTTCGGCGAATTTCTTTCGGTGAAAATTTGTTTTCGGCGAATTTCT